GGAACAAAGCTCGTCTGCGCTCACTGTGCGTTTTCTGTTTTGGTGATGCGTGACTTCAACGGTGACTTTTGGTGGTATTGTGTGACTTCAACTGGACGGTTGCCCTTTACTGTAAAAAACAGACCAAAAACCATGTAAGCACCCAACTGCACAAACTGGCTTTGTGGCTTTGGTGCCTTAAGCAGATACTTGAAGATGTGCCCAACCTGTCGTGTTGGGAGCAAATAATCTCAGATGACACATTTGTCCCAGAGTCATTTTGAAGTTGGCCATACAGGCCATCATGGAGGGGGGTGTAAGTGTGAGTAGGAAGGAAGGGAGGTAATTTGAAGGAGAAGTGCTGCTGTTTGGAGCTGTACACCACTGTAAACCAGTTGTGATGATTGACTTTTCTCCTGATTTCAGTGTCTGTGTTGCTCAGACCATGCCCACAGCAGTCCCCATCTCCCCTCCGGATGGCTCAGACAGAGGCAGGATCATTCCCACTCCCACCAATCCCAGGGAGCACAGGGACGGGCAGTCACAAGCGACTGGAACATAATTTGCTATTAGGCTATGTGGCATCCTGTCTGCCATCAATTACAGCCTCGGCTCAGAATAAAAAGAAATGAAGGGGACTTAACATCCAAGCCTTTGGCTGGTGGTGAGGAGGGACTGGATGCATTTTGAAGGGAAAGCAAATGAGGGAAGTGTCGTGCTGAGAGGTTGCAGATGGGAAAAGAGGGAAGCTATGTTTAAAAAAACTACACGCAAGAACCTGTTTGTTACCTGCAAAGTCGTGTGCTATCAAAATGTGAATTAAACAGCTTTTTCTAGAGTTTTGTCTGCTGAAAACAGAGAATTGTACTTGGATGGAGAGGGGAAAAAATGATGTGTAAGCAAGCAGACTTCGTCTTCCTGTACAGCTGGTGTCAAAATGGTAAGCGGGTGTCGGGGAGCAGGATCAGAGAGTTATTTCTCACAGCCTCGAATCCTGTGGTTCAGGAGGACGGGGTGGTTCTCACCTCCACTGCCCTGCTTGAAAGCCGTAACCAGCTCTCCTCTCCTTGCTCCCAGCTTACGCCACAGAACTTCCTCCCACGGAAAGGGAGGAGGGGCCCTCCTTGCCTGACCTGTACCGCATTTGCCATTTTTGCCTTTCCTGGCTACCGTTTCCACATGCTGAGTTCGCGCTGGAAGTAATACAGCTAAATTGCTTCCTCCAGCTACTCGCTCTCAATTGACACTCCTCCACGGGGAGCTTTAAATGGTGCCCACGGGGCAGCGCAGAGCCTGAAATCCCCGTTAACCCTGGTAGTTCAAAAACGATCAAGGCAAACAGAGGTCTGATCTCCGCTTTAGGAAATGATGCAATTGTTGTAACAAGTCATTACCCTAAAAAGAAGAAATGAGCCTTCATACAGTACGTGTTAACCTTCGCTAACTAAAACCGCATTCTTTTTCAGCTCTTTTATATGCTTGGTCGTGCATGAGGAAAGGCCTTTTTTTGTCTCCAAGTGTAACTGGTACAATGCTGCAGTGCTTTTTCAAGGGAGCTAAACACTAAGAAAACATTACAAAATCCACATTTTTTTACTTTTCTGTGATAACCTACTTAGTTTGTGGAAGATAAGAGGATTTGTGGAAGATAAGAGGAACCAGCCTTAGTCTGTGAGTGCTCAAAACTGGCAGGCAATTGACTCCCATCCTTCACCTTCAGGCACTGTAGATCTTTGCCCTCCAGGGTTTACTCTCAGCAGCCAGCGCCAGCTGCGTTCCCAGGTGAATTAGAGCTCTGAATTTATAGGTTTGTCCACTAATCCTTTCACTGGCACTTTGAATAAAGGCATCTGGAAGGTGGTAGTGCATTTCCTATCAGTAGTGCGCTGCTTATCACTGGGGGTAAATCTCTCCCGAGCAGTCTAATCGTCACAAAACCTGCACTCAGTGTTAGCAGGACACTTGTATACTCTGACAGAAAGCTGTTCTGCCATTTATTTTGCCCTAGCCGTGGCATAAAATGGAGACTCTGGGCTGAGATGGACCCCTTGCCTGGAAGACTGTCACAGCAGTTGGTGGGTAGATAGAGACAGGTATCGTCCTCCCTCTGGGTCCCCGAGCAGTGCAGGGCACTACAGGTAACAAAGAGCCTCTGGTTTCTGTATGCAGCACATCCCCACTAGTGTGGTGTTACTTTCCCAGTCATTTCAGTATGTGTTCAAGCAGTTACTGTGGTAACTCATTTCATCCTACTGAAACGCTATTTAGCAGCCACTTTTTGGATCAGTTTTGCAAATAGGGTGCAGAGCGTGCGGAGTGCTTGCTGAGCAGCCAGAGCAGCAGTTAAATGTCATGAGAGAAAAACAAACCAACCTGGATGATGACTGGAAACATTACCACAGGAAAAAGATGTCCTATGGTTGCCATAAAGCAAAATCATGGGAAGACAAAAGTAAACACTCAGAAACATTCCCCCTGCTCCCCCCCCCACCCCCACAAGAAAAAGGGTTCTGTAACTTTTAAAGTTACAGAAATCTCGCAAAGATAAAATCTGTGGTTTCTCAAGTGCGGCAGCACAGTCCTATGGCGATTGCACCTGTGTGGAATCAAAACTTCCTACAAAATTGCATTACAGGTGGAGCTGCGAGTTGCTATCTGAAAAATAAGTAACCTATTTAAATGTATAAAGGGAAACAAGTGAGCTCAACCGTGAAGTAGTTCTCAGCTGAAATGTCATGAGCAGCAGCATTTACATTCAGCCTCCCCGTGAACCCAAAGGAGCGCTATGCTAAACTGTTTCACTGACCCACGTACGGACAGACTGACAAGCTCTTTGTTGCAGAGTCAAGTTAGGAAATACCAGAGCTAAGGTTGTCCATGCAACCTTCCTTTCCCCTCCCCATGCGGACATGCCACAATACGGGCTTTAATTCCGTAATCCCTCAGTCATTTTCCTCTGGCCCCCTGCCTCCCTCGGTGCGGAGGAGGCACAATGCCGCCTTAATGAGCAGACGGGCAGCGACTTGGCTTCTCATGATTTGGTCTGTGACCATGGACCTCATTCAAGTCCCATTCCCCAAGTCCTGCTCTGAACATGTGGTGGCGTTCAGCTTGTCCCACAAAAGTCTCACAGCCCTTCATGAGCACAACCCTTGCACCCTGCAGTAGGAGTTCAATGGTTAATACCCTCGTTTTACAGATGCAGACCAGACACGGCAAGCATTTAACCGATTCTTGCCATTCCATGTCCATCCATAGCACCAGAGCACAGCCCCTGAGGAGAGCTGACGCGGTTGTGAGCGCTCTGCACCTCATCAGATCAGACCCTGGTGCCTCCAGGCCAGCCAGCCAGAGAATAAAGGAAGGTATACGTGGTCACCCCATTGGAAACTAGGATATCACCGAGCCCTCCATGGCAGCTGCCTTGCACAGGGTCCTCAGATCTCAGTCCTACTCTCCTAGCTGGTCCCCTTCTGATGCTCCACGCTGTTTGTCTCTAATGACCTCTGTTTTCCCACTGGTAACAGCATTATCCAGCCCACGGCATAGCTCTAGGTTGTAGTAAGACAGGTGGGAGTACCCATCCATTGTCCTACCTTTCACCCCACTGGGAACAGGAACAGCCCAGGGCTCCTCTTGTCTCCCTACTCTGGGTTGTGCATCTGCAGTTGGGAAGCTGCTCTTCACCTCCCACTGGTTTCTGCCCTCTTTCAAAGACCCTCTTAAAGCTGAGGAAGGAGAGGACTCTGTATGGCTGCTCCTGTGCTCTGCGTGTGCCTCGTGGCTTGAGGGAGCAGTTGCCTTGGCGATGCTTTTACATCACCTGCCCAAAGTTCACTCCTGTACCTGCACAGGTGCCTTTTCCAACACTGCCTTGAGGGTTAGGGTAAGGCTGCCTGGGTTTTTTTGGTTTGTTTGTTTTTTTAAACTATTCTTGACTACCTTTGCTTGACTCTTAAATTCAATTGCATCTTGAGTGTGAGCAGATGGGCAGAAGCAGCAGCTCAGGTGGAACCGGCACAGGCAAACTCCGCTCTCATGGAGGGGGAGTTTCCCCTGTTTGGCTCTGGAAACACGGGCCCTTGAGCTCTGCAGCTTGTGTGAGCACTTCTGCAGTCATCGTTTTCTAGCAGGTGTGAAACGTTGATGAAATGCTCTTTTTCTATTAAAGCATACAAATCCTCTCTTCCAGCTAATTGCCAAGTAAAGTCAACCCACAGTTGTGCTGGGCTGTGAGAAGTTGGTTTGCTGAATATTGTAACGACAGAATTAAATAATGGTCTAAAATTAAAACAGGGCGCTGTTTTAATTTCACTTATTAATTGTCTTTTTCCCTTCAAGCAACTTTGTGGCTTCTTTCCTGCTATCCCTTTTTCTTTGGAGGAGCTGCAGTTAAAACACAGGGCACTGTTTTAATTTCACTTATTAATTGCCTCCTCACTCAGCATCCATAGTGATGCCTGCAGAAGCTTCAGACAGCAGCTTGGCCGTGGGTAACTGGTGACCTGAGCTGCTTACAGTATTCGTTTCACTTTGGCCTTCTCCTGCACTTGGGTGGGGTGTAGCATCAGGCACACGAGGGCCCTGCTCTACTGTGGTGCAAGTAATCACTGTTAGCATGTTTTGTTCTGTCGCAGGATTTTGTGATGGAGAAAGAAGGAACAGCAATGCCTTAGTGTCTTTTTTTTAGTGAGGTGGGTTTCTTTTTTCCATAGCTTTGATGCCACCACAAGATTTGTGACAGAACAATAACATGCTTTGGTTGTAGGATCAGCTGCATGGGACACCTCAAGGTACAAAGCTTTTCAGGCCAGGAGTTGGAAGCAGAAGGGCTGTGAACCGGCAAGCAAGAAACTTCACCTACTTCTCAGCCCAAGGATGTTCTGACGCTTTTTAATTTTTTTAAACACTAAAGGAACTGTACATAAGAGCAATTACATATATTATAAAATGGACAAACCTGGCCTCAGATGTTACTGACAGTAATTGCAAAGCCTCTCATTTTCATGTTTTTGTTGCAGATTGATGTCCTCAAGGCAGATGTGGAGAGCGCCGAGTGGAAAATTTTGGAAAACCTGATCCTGGAAGATGTTGTTGAGCAGATAGGACAGCTGGTCTTTGAGGTGCACATCCACTGGCCTGGGTTTGAGGTCAGCGGCAATGACAGCACCGTGGTGCGGTACTGGTACAGCCTGCTCCGAGAACTGGAGCTGAAGGACTTCAGGCTTTTCCATACCTACAAAGACTTATCAAAACCACAGATGTTTCTGAAAAAGGAAGCCTTCAACGCCAGTAGCTGCTACACACTGAGCTGGGTAAATACAAGATGGAAATAGCAGAAAAGAATTTATGGTGTGCGACTGCAAGCCATCTGGCCCCGTAGCGTTATTGAAGACGACTTTGGCGTCACTGGCTAAAGTTGCTAAATATGCACACAGTGACTGCTAACAAAATGGACTGGCTTTTATTTTTATACGTTGTCAAAGGAACTGGTGTTGGGACAAGATACATGGTGAAGATTTGTATAGCAATATATTTGCCAGCGGGTACATGGTCTGAGAGGACAGAGGTTCCGGTAAAGGTTTGTCTGGGGTGGCTAACAGCGCAGCTTTCCCAGGTTGCCCCGTGGCCGGGCACACCGGCACAGGGGGCATCCCTCTGGGGCTGCCCTGGGAAGCTCTGCTCGCTGAGCTGCACCGGCCCTTGGGCAGGAGAATGCTCATGAGGAGGTGCTTTCTCAGGAGGGGTCAAGTGTGACTTCTTGGTAAAGCAATCGGCTTTGATTTGCACCTTCTTTAATTTTGCCTTGCTTCCTATGGAATGAATTTTAGGCAAGAACAGCGTGTTCTTCAACCCACTGGCAAATTTCAGCTGAATCTGGCAGAGGCAGAAATCACCACCAAATTAAACTCTTACCTATTTCTTTGAACAGCTTCTGAGTGCTCTGACTTTGGCTCTGTAGGGCAGCCTGGCTGCGGCAAGCGAGTTCGGTGCTTCTCACATAGGCGACGGTGGGGCAGAGAGACTCAGCTGCGGGAAAAGCTGCTGCCAAGCGCTCACCCTCCTCACCCTCCAGAGGCTTCAGCCACAGAAGACAGGGCTTCCCCAGTTCATCTGCTCACAGAACGGCTTGTTTTAAATCACCCTTGCATCGGCTGTAGCAAATGGTTTTTCATCTGGCGAGTTACTTATTTAAAAGAGCTGAAAGTGAATCCTGGTCTTTTTCATTCATTTGTTTGGGGCTTTAGTTGAATGTTTTGCTGCCTGCCTTCTCCAGCGCTGTGCCTGGGTGCCTGCTACCTCCTCAGCACCTCCCTGGGCTGGCTGCCTCTCCCTGCCAGGAGCAGGCCAGAGCCCGGGTCTGCACTGACGCAGGCAGAGGGGGTGGTGGGGGCGGGTGCCCTGGTCTGCGGGCATGTGGGGGCTCTGCAGGCTGGCACGGGGGTTGTCTGCAGTGCGCTCCCAGCCGTGGCCGTTCCCTGAGGAGCTAAGGAATGGGGGGAGCTAAAAAAATAATATAGCAGGTTGGGTTTTTTTTCTTCTCTTTAAAAGAATTTTGACATTAAACTTTGCATTGAAATACAAGATGGCACCACTTCCATGTCTTTGATACACGGCCTTCGTAGCTGCCTTTGGTTTCTGGCTTCTGCAGGGCTCAGTGTTCCTCCCCTTGGTGTGCTGCAGCCCAGTGCTGTGTTTCTAAAAAGTCTCTTTCTCTGCCCAGTGTTGTTCTGTCTCTTGTAATCCTGGCATTCCCTCTCTCCTTTCATACCCTCCTTTCCTTTTTCACCTTCTCCACTGCCACAGCTCCATCATCCCCTCCAGCCCTTGCGCTGGACCCAACATGCCCCTGGGATCTCGGCAAGCAGCCAGAGGGGGGGTTAAAAAAAAAAAAAAAAAAGAGTAGGAGCTCTTCCTTCCAGCCAGGAAGTCAGATTTCTCCCAGAGGCACCGCTTTGCCTCGCCAGTGGATCAAGCCAGCCCCCTCACCTTCCCCAGGCTTCGCCCCTGAGCGAGGCATCTGCTTTCCTCCTCTCCCACCTCCCTGAGGGCTCCTGCTGCCCCAGGGCGGGCAGGGACCGGCTCTCCCCAGCAGAAACTGCTTCAGCCCTTCAGGTCAGCTCCCGTGTCCCAGAAAAGGCCAGCAGGCAGGTGACCCTACTGGGGGGAGAGTCTTCCTCCCACCGCCCTGGCTCTGGGGCTGTGAGGAGCCACCTGCCCTGGCCCCAGCGCCTGCCTCCCCACTGGGACCTGCAGAGCCCATCCTGGGGCTGGAAACGGCTGCAGTGAATCCGACTTTGAGCATCTGCATTGGCCAAGGACCTCAGGCTGCTGTGGAAGAGGTGGATGAAAACCCTCTCCCTGCTTCGATGGTGAAGGACTAGGGTGGTGAGGGGCTGCTGGAAAGAGGCGGGGGGGAGGGGGATTTTAGTCTCGTCAGAGAAAGCCAGCTCTGTGCCCATGTGTGCTCAGGTTTGTATCAGTCTTCCAAATCACATTTGAAATTTTAACTTGTGGCTAAATGTCAAACCTTTTCTTTTTGAACAAACGCATGCTGGTTTTCAGGCTACTGACTTTCAGTCACACTGACAGTGCCTTGTATTGTACGGAGGCTCTGAGTTACTGCCTCCCCCTTTTATTTTCCTTCTAAAACCAAATCCATCTACTTCTTTAGTTACACTTGGGTTTTCTGAAGCGGAGTTTAATTCTGAGAGGGCTTAACATGGTCTTCTACACATTGAATGCCTCCTTTAGGGAAGAAAGAGGACGGTGCAGCCAGACCGGGACTACTGAGCGGGTGGTGATCCCAGCTGGGCCGGTGCTAGTAAACAAAGCCAGGGCAGGCAGCGTGCACAGGCTCTGGGAGTGGCGGGCTGGTTAATTAATGAGATCCCTGGCACAATTTTGGCTTAGGCCACCTAGGACTCTCTGAGACGATTCCTAGGCACAGGTGGGGAGTTAGCCCAAGCCAAGGACACCTTGGATGCAGCCACCTTGTTTGGGAAGCAGAAAGAGTTTAGTAAATGGACGTGGCCAGGCCATCTTTGCCAGTTCGCCTCCAGGCTGGGGAAAACCACCTGGCATCGTTTTATTTTCTGGTATAAACGTAGCTCCTGCTCCTGCAGAACCTGGGGGGCGAGGGTCTTCCCGGTCACTCAGAGCAGGGTGCCGTGGGGCCCACCACCTCCTCAGCTCTGCGGCGCTCGAAATCAAGATGTTGTATTGCTGCTGTGTTGGGTTCCCCGTGCCCAAAACGTTAGGCAAAGCGCTTGGCACAGGGCTGAGCTAACTGTCCCCCTCCCTCAGCCAGGTAACTCACAACCCAAGGGAACCATGACCTCTGCAAATGGGTGGGAAATGCCTTCTCTGTGACAGTGACAGTGCCTTGTATTGTACGGAGGCTCTGAGTTACTGCCTCCCCCTTTTATTTTCCTTCTAAAACCAAATCCATCTACTTCTTTAGTTACACTTGGGTTTTCTGAAGCGGAGTTTAATTCTGAGAGGGCTTAACATGGTCTTCTACACATTGAATGCCTCCTTTAGGGAAGAAAGAGGACGGTGCAGCCAGACCGGGACTACTGAGCGGGTGGTGATCCCAGCTGGGCCGGTGCTAGTAAACAAAGCCAGGGCAGGCAGCGTGCACAGGCTCTGGGAGTGGCGGGCTGGTTAATTAATGAGATCCCTGGCACAATTTTGGCTTAGGCCACCTAGGACTCTCTGAGACGATTCCTAGGCACAGGTGGGGAGTTAGCCCAAGCCAAGGACACCTTGGATGCAGCCACCTTGTTTGGGAAGCAGAAAGAGTTTAGTAAATGGACGTGGCCAGGCCATCTTTGCCAGTTCGCCTCCAGGCTGGGGAAAACCACCTGGCATCGTTTTATTTTCTGGTATAAACGTAGCTCCTGCTCCTGCAGAACCTGGGGGGCGAGGGTCTTCCCGGTCACTCAGAGCAGGGTGCCGTGGGGCCCACCACCTCCTCAGCTCTGCGGCGCTCGAAATCAAGATGTTGTATTGCTGCTGTGTTGGGTTCCCCGTGCCCAAAACGTTAGGCAAAGCGCTTGGCACAGGGCTGAGCTAACTGTCCCCCTCCCTCAGCCAGGTAACTCACAACCCAAGGGAACCATGACCTCTGCAAATGGGTGGGAAATGCCTTCTCTGTGACAGCCATGCTTGCTGCAAACCCTCCTACATGAAGCACCGAGGGCTGTTTAACGATGCAGGGCCATGAGGAGATTCATTAAAATGCGAGAGAGTGCCAGGATTTCCTAAACCGGTATCTAAGCTTGCCGGAACGATCATGCCCACTGCACCACAGAGTGGCTCAACCCCTGTTCTTCAAATAATGGGGTGGCAAAAGCCCAGCTGTGAGTCCTGATTTATTAATAAAGCATAAAAATATGGGCTCTAGCACTGCGCAGGTTTTTCCTCCTGATTAGTCTTAGAGTAGCTAGCCTAGCAGCTGACTATCATTTGTTTAAGAAACTGGTGGAGGTTGAAAAGCAAATTACATGATCTGTTTCAGATGTTAAAATTCCAAAGGGATGTGCATCTTCCATCATCTATTGCCCTGAAGAAAAAATGGTGGTGGGTATGTAAATTATAGAAACGGAGTGGAGGTCCATCCTGGTTCTTCTTTGCTGAAGATGCAGAGTTTAGTAAACCCTCAGCTAATCTCTCTCAGGGTTGCCGGGTAGTGCCAGGAACAATTCAGGCTGTAGCAAATACATCTTCTGCAAGAAAAGATTCCAATAACTATGGTAATTTTTAAGGAAACCTTATCTCAGATACGGGATAGATAAAAGCCATTTATCATTCTGGAGGCAGTTATGTGGTGAGGAAAATGAACAGCTCTTATTTTATGCACTACCTGTGCCTTTGTACTTAGCACCTCTTAAATAAGAGTTACAGCTTTGCTTTCTGAGGTCTTGCTTTTGTGCCCTTACCCCTCCTCTTTTATTGATCTCTTTTACCTAAAGGAGTGATTCTTAAATGAATTGAGTCCCCGTCCCCTAGGCACGACCAGCCCCAATCCGCTGCAGGGTCCCAGCCGTGCGCCTGGCCAGGCGGCACCTCCAGCCCCTTAGGGACAGTGCTGAGAGAGAAAGGCAGGGATCCGGGGCTGCTGGCATCCACAGCTGGAGCTGATGAGCAGATGAGTGGACAGTGCGGTGGATTGGGAACTGGCTGCATGGCAGAGCTCAGAGGATTCTGATCGGTGGAGCAGAGTCTAGTTGGAGGCAGGTAGCTAGAGGGGTTCCTCAGGGCTGTGCTCGGCCCGGTCTTGTTCAACTTATTCATCAATGACCTGGACAAGGGGACCACCAGCAAGTTCGCT